GCCTCTCCACTCCCTTTTGATTGTCTCAACCTCTGAGGGACTTGGAAGGTCACAGAGGCAGGTTCCTGGTCTCAGGCAGCCACTTCCACTGCTACGCCCAGTGTGGAAATGAGGAGGGCACCAGGCTCCTCCCAGCTCCGGGCTGTGTCTGGTGACCTTGGGCCTCTCCCTTCTACTCTGGAAGTCAACAGCGTGTGTGCACAGGCCCTGGACCCATCCCCAGCTTCAAACTTAGGCTCCACTGTGAGGCGTAGGACCTTGGGGAGCCCTTTTAACCTCAGTTTCCTCATCCATACACCAGGCAGGGAGTGTCCCCTCCGCTGAAGGTTCTTGTCAGAACCCAGTGAGACGGTGCCCCCTAAGACTCCAGCATCACACTGGGTAAAACAACGGCTCCTGTATATTTCTGTTCGTACAAACCTGGATGAGGTGATCCCAAAAGCCAAGCACTAACCTCCTAGGCAATTTGGAGCAAATGACTCCTTGCCCGTGGCCTCCGTCTTCCCCTCTGTGAGAGGGGTTGAGGGACATGATCCCAGGGGCTTCACTGGCTGGTTCTGAGCCTGGGGGGTCAATAATGAGCTGCATCTCCTGCCCCAACAGCTGGGGGGGTCAGAAAGGACCACTTTCCTGGACCCCTGACCCTGTCCTCTTGCTCCCCACAACCCACAACACTCCTGTGTCACCTTTGCAATGAATGAATTCCTGGTCCTGCTGACCGACCACCTTAACCCCCCCACCCCCGCCCCGGTGCTTGGGGAAAAGGCCCAGGGAGCTGTTGATAGGCAAGGTGTCAAAACCAATTGGTGTGAAGGACTTGGGGAAAACGGCTTGTGAGGGCCAATTCCCCACAGGAGGCCGGGAAACCCTCAGCCCAGGGCGGAGTGTTTACAGGCGTAATTGATAGAATAATCACCAACACCCGAGACAACGGCAAACACATTTTTAACATCATAACCTTCGGAAGACAGCACTCAATTTTCTCCGTCTCCCAGCCACCAAACTAGCCAGCTTATTGATGGTAAGATCCACCAGTTCGGGAAGGAACTCGAGAAAGCCAGAGTCATTTTTCAGTGCACAGGCTGTTTGCGAAATAGCCTGGCGGCCCCCGCCCCTCCCCCAGCACCCCACTGCTCCCTCCTGGCAACAGAGAGAAGCTCAGGACAGTGAATCACTCAATGGACAAAGCGCCAGACCAAGCCAGGATCTTTGTCTGCATCGGGGTATATTAATAATTGAAGGTGCTGGCCTGGGGGGGGGGGGTTGTGTGTGTGTGTGTGTGTGTGTGTGTGTGCACGCATGTGTGTGTGTGTGCGTGTGTGTGTGTGTGAAGGCAGAGGGGGGAGGAGGGACGTTTACTGCAGTATAAGGCTTCCTGGGGCTCCTCTCAGACTCCACTTAGGGCTCTAGACTGGACCTCTCCCACGCTTGCAAAACTAAAATCCATCAGCCCACAGTTTCCATCCCCTTGTCCCATCAGGTACGGGCGAATACTTAAGGCTCCCAAACTCCAGGCTGCATGAGAAGTGTCTGGGGAGCTTATGGGTCATTTTGGCCAGTGGGTATGGGGGGACCCTAAGATCTGCTTTTTAACACATACCCTCAAGGGATTCCAAGTCAGAAGGTCTGCAAAGACCGTGCCTTCTGGACGTCTGCCCTGGATGGGACCTGGAAAGAGCATTGAAGAAGAAGCCCAGCCCAGCTGTCTCTTCCAGGTGGCATGTTACCCCAGCAAGGTCCTGTTACCGTCTGAGTCACTGACTCCTCTTAGTGGAACCCACTGCTTTCACAGTTTTCTGAGATGCTGGAAGGGAGTGTGCTTGGATGGGCTGCACAGAGGAAGTTTGGTCAGACACGCCTGCCTTGAAGCTGTCTGGAGGAGGCAGGCCCAGAGCTACCAGACACACCTTCTTTCTAGATCAGTTCTCCAGCTCGCAGTGCAAACTCAGTGACCTTGGGCACGTCATTTGCCCTCTCTGAACCTCAGTTTCCTCTTATGTCCAACGTCAGCCTTGCTGGACTTGTGAGTCACGAATAATGTCAGTCTTTGTGAGTTAACACTGGCAGGGGGTTGGCAGCACCTAGCGTACAGTAGGCATTTCATAAATGCCATTTCCTGTGCCCCCACCTCTGCTGTGCTCATGGCAAGGAGCTAATCCTTTCTGATAAAGAATATTCAAAACAGCTGCCATTTAGTGAGAACCTACTAGGCACATACACTGACCATCAACACCACAGCCTCCCAATTCCCGAGGCCTCCCTAAGAGGCACACACCATTCAGTCCCCATTCATTCTTCAAGCCTTTAAAAAGCCCTCTGTGAAGTGGGCTGAGTGGAGGTGGCAGGGAGACGGAAAGCGAGACAGATGTCCTTGCGGACCCATCTGACCGCGAGCTCTCCCTGTGACGAGCCTTGGGGCGGACGGCGTGAGCCTGGCGGCTGGGCTCAGATGGAGCTGGAGAGGTGAGCAGCCAGCAGGCGGTTGGGGTCAGTGGGCCCCCGCGTCTGGTCCCCCACTCCCATCCCAGACACAGAGACACCTCCCTAACCTGGCCACATTTCCTGAATCAGCTCAGGCCACGCGGAGCCTGGCATAATGCAACGATCAGGCTCCAATCTGCTAAACAGCAATTTCTGGGCTTTTTCAGCACACACAGCTTTTATCAAATTGGTATTCTCCTCCTGAACACAAATGGCTTATTAGACATGACCCACTTATTCGCCGCGTCTCACTATCATTAATAACAGTTTCTTTTTGTGATTAAGTGAGTGGCTCCAAACCCTTCCTGTGGTGGCGTGCGCTTGGCCCGACACAGGGGCAGCCGCGGGGGCTCCTCAGCATCCACTACTTGGTGACTTTGAACCTGGTATTGTTGGGGGCGGCAGCCTGGTCCCTGCAGAGCAGTCCAGCCTCCTCGTTTCTTGAGGGTCATGGGGAGCCCCAGAGGGGTAGCTCACTTGCCCAGAGTCACATGGGGAATCAGTAAGAGGAGCGAGGCTCCCCAGTCAGAGCTGTCTCCTTTCCACCTAGCCCTCCTCTGGGCCTTAGCTGGACCTCTCCAGGGTCTGGCACGGCTGAGCTGTGGCCCTAAGCATGCCTGGCACCAGGAGGCAGGCAGAGGCTGCCACACAAAGGGCAAGTCCTGCTTCCTTTTAGTGCCCCGGGAATGATACAGTGGTACCCAAATCCTTGGGAACAGGATGATGGTAAACCGCGGGTCCTGCTGTCAGAAGGGACGGAAGACTCAGTAAAGCTCTTCTTTGGAAAACCCTCCTCGTGTAAGTTTCAACAGTGCCAAGCAACTGAGCTGCAAGAGGTGGAGAGCGGAAGGAGGAATTCCCAGTTTGCCTTGAATGGGAGAGAATCTGACAGGGAGATGAACGTGTCCTGGAAAAATCACTCTCTTTGTCCGACAGACCCTGGGGCCAGTCCCAGTTCAACCACTCACTGTGCGACCTTGGACAAGTCCCTTGACCTCTCTGAGCTTTGGTTTCTCCATCTGTACACTGAGGATCAAAACAGCCCTTTTCCTGCCTACCAGCCAGGTTGGTAGAAATTACATGAGGGACAGGAACAAGCGACAGACAGAGCAGTTACTGTCAAACGTGATAAGGCAATAAGGCATGGTTCCCCCAAAGCAGAGAACCTGAGAAGGGTTTGGGGAGCTCCCCTCCGCCTGAAGCAATCCCACTCATGCGTCACTCCCCAGTGAAGCCTTTTCCGACTTTCTGTTCACCTTTCCCCCCCAGCCCTACTCTTCCCCATCAGAATAAATCACCCGGTTCTCTGTCCTTTGTGTAAACCTCCTCCCCGGTCTTGGGCATAAAGTGCCCAGCACTGGTGCTGCAGCCTTCCCCACCACACAGGGAGCCCTTGCAGGGGCAGATGGCTAGAGGAAGGGTCTCCATTTTCATGCATGCCCCGTTCCCCATGACGGCAGCCTGGCTCACAGGGGGCATGGGAAGGCCCCACAAAAGTCAGCCTCAGACAATCCAACTCTGCTGCCAACTTGGGCTCCTCTGGGGCTAAAAGGAGCTTCGACACTCAGGCAACCAGTGCTGGGAATGCTTGCTTGCTCCCGGCTCCCACGGCGGCCGAGTTGAGATCTCCCACATTCCAGTCCTCCGACTGAGGATGAGGTAGATGGGCCCCTACATTAGGATGGCATGGGTTCCGTGCCCACCCCCAGAGGCAGACAAAAGCTCGTGGCATTCCCTCTTCCCCTTCCTCCTTGTTGACTGGAAGCAACAATCCCAACTATTCCAGCGTCTTCGTGGGGCTCCCACCAAGCCTTCGGCCCACCCACCCAACAGGGGTGGGTGCAGCCCTGGGCTACCAGTTCTCAAGAAGCAGGGTCTCCTGGCCCTCAGGACTTCTGCCAACAACTTAAGGAGCAGGTGTGGCGAGGCAGGGGACAAGGGCAGCTGCGGGGTTAAACCCACAAAGGGGAGGTAGATGGGCAAAGAGGGGTGGGCGAGCAAAGTGTGTTCACAAGTCTGTGTGTATCTGCCAGTGTGTCTGCAGGTGGGCGGGTGGGCAAGAGTTGTGCAGAGTGTATGCACCTGAGTGCCAGTCGGCAGGGTGTGAGCCCCCCAGCCTTGGTGCCTGATGTGTGGGTCTGTAGTGGCTGTCAGTGTGAGTGTCTGCGAGTGAGGAAGGGGTCTGAGGTGTCTGGAGATGCGTGAGCAAATGAATTGCGAGTGTGAGAAAGCGGGGAACGTGGCTCCGAGTGTGCCCGGGGCCGTGGGTATCTGTGTGGTCCTGGAGATGCGTGTGCTCGCCCGAGTGTCTGTGTGCGAGCACACTCAGGGGTGCACACGGGCTGCTCCCTCCTCCGCAGGGTGGCCAGGGTGCGGGGGCGGCTCACTGGCCCCGACAGGGGGCGCCCGGACTCCTGCCTCTGTCGGCGCGGGTTCGAGCCCGGGGACCGCGAAGTTGGAGCCGGGCAGCCGGGGTGGGCTGTGCCGGGGAAGTCCGCGGGGTCGGGGACCCAACTCACCGTGACCGGAGACGTGGTTGTCCCAGGGCGCGTGGCCGGCGGGCCGCGTGGCTCCGCCGAGTTGCAGGAAAAGTGCCAGGGAGTGGAGGGCGCCCAGCGCCAAGGCGAGCGGGGCCCCCATGGTGCTCGCTCGGGCGGGGGGCGCCGCCGCCTCACATCGGGGCTCAGGGGACCGCAGACCCTGCGCCCGCCGTTCCCTGCCCGGCGCGGCCTGGCTGCCCGGCGCGGGTCGCGGCTCCTCGCCCGCTGCGCCCGGCCCGGCCCCGGCCCCAGCCCTCGCGGGCCCCGGCCCAGCCCCGGATGCGGACCGCGAGCGCGCGCCCGGCCGGCCGCCTCCGACTGCGGGACTCTTCCCTCGCGCGGAAGGCCACGCCGCGCGGCCGCCGCACCCCCTCCCGCCCGCCCAGAGCAGGCGGCGGCGGAGGGATCTGCCGCTTGATTTATCATCAAAGTTTTGCCCAGGCCGGGATTTTTAAAGCGGTACCCGCCGGCCCCCGCCCCGGAGCGCGCCGGGCGGGCCGGGAGGGAGGCGCCACCCCCGGGCCCGGGGCCCGCCAGGCACCACGCAACGGGCTCCTGAGGCAAAAAATACTTTCAGCGGGATAAGGAGAAGCGGGTGCAGCCGCAGGGCCAGCGCTCAGGGGGACTCCTGCAATTTTTGGGGGGCCGCGAGGCAGGTGGGGGTGAGGGGGAGTGGAGGGGCAGGTGCGGGTGAGGGGGGTTAGGAAGCGGGGCTGGAGCCCCCGAGACCCGGCGGTAGCCCCGCTGCAGCCTGTGACTGTGGGAGCGTGTCGGGGTGTCTGGCCCGGTCTGGGCCTCAGTGTCTGCATCTGAGACATGGAAATGTCAGCTGCCTCCGGGGTCCTCGTGAGGGTTTAGGAAATGGCGCATGTAAAGCGCTTACCGTGCTGCCAGCCACATGGTGGGGGGCCCCAGCGTTGTTAGTGTTGCTGTTCCCTCTCTGGGACTCAGTTTTCGTGTCTGTTAAATGGGAGTGAGGCGGGTCAGCTGCTGGGGCGCCGTCTGGCTTAGAGATGCTGGATTGGATCGCCCCCTTCTGGATCGTGAGGCTCCCTTCTTGGGATCTATAGGCCTAGATGGAATATTGAGGCGGAGGGGGGTTGGGGGGTTTGAGGGGGCGGGGAATAATGAATCCACTCCCATTCTCAAGAGCAAAATCCAACGAGATCCTCAGATTCTTTCTTCCCCTGATTGAAGCCTCTGAATAGTGCGCGTGGGACAGACCTTCAGTGCAGTCACGAGGGTGGACAGCGGTCTGGCCCTGGAGGGATCCCTCCTGCTCCCCCAATCCTTGTCCTTCCCCAGCCCTCGTTGCTCACTAGGCCCTGTCTGCTGCGGTTGAAGCGCCACGGAAGAGGTCAGCGTCTACCCTGCCACCCAAGCACTGGCCTCGCGGGCTAGTAGATACGAGGGTTCAGCACTGTGGACAGCCTTTCCGACTCCTTCCTCTGCACCCCAGGGAAGGGGACACAACAGCGAAGACGGCTCACTTCCCCCACCCCCAGACCACAGCTGGATCCAGCATTGTGAACAGCGCCCCAAGTTTGAGAATGAGGTTAGAGCCCAAGCGACAGTTCCCCACCCTGCTGTCTTTTCTCTGTTCTCACATCCCCTCTTTCAACATTATGGCGAACAGCACACCAGATGGGGCCTGTGGTCGCCAGCAAGAATACAGGTCATTCAAAGCTGAGGACGGAGCCCCGAAGAGTCGCGCAATCACGAAAACCGTGTTCCTGCAGCACCGACGGAGCCCACGGGAGCGGCGGCGCCGCGCGGTCTTCAGCACCGCGGACAGATCCCCGCCGCCGCGGGGCTTGGGGCGCGCGCCCGGCCACTGCAGGACGGAGCCCGGGTTTTGCCAGATCAACCCGCTTCTTTTCACTTCCTTCCCACACAGCGATGATACTTAGGTTATTCTAGGAGTGCCAGGCGTCTTGGGTTCTACAAAAGCATTTTCTCATTCACTAGTTCACTTGAGCTTCGCTCCCAATGAAACGAGCTCCATTGTTCTCATAATAAAGATGAAGAAACCCAGAATCTTTAAGTCACAGAGCTCCGTCTGTGCTACAGAAACATGGTTTTTGTGATTGCGCGACACTTGGGGGCTCTGTCCTCAGCTTTGAGCAGTGTCAAGACTGACACTCCGGACTTTCAGTCCCTGAGAGGAGATTAGAAGAGAGGAGTAAACAGAGGCATTGGTTGGGTGCTGCATTGCTTCTTAGTCACTAGCCCACTGATGGTCCTGAGAGCTTCAGGAATCCTTTTTCCTTGTAATCTGGAATAGGGTTAAACCCAGTGACTTCTAATATTCCTTCAAGGACAGACCTCCAGGGATTTTATGACTGAAAACATTCGTGCTGTAATGGCTTTGCTTAAACCTTTCCGGTGGCTTTGTTTATTAGAGAATTTCTGACTTTTTTTCATTTGCATTCAAAGTCCCAGCCTCACCTTTGACACAAACCCTCTACTCCAGGCTCTGTTCCCTCCCTGAATGTGTCCAGCTCATCATGTCCTCGCCATTCCCAGCACCTCTCCCTCTGCTTACCTGCCTTCCCATCTGCCCTCCATCCAGACTCCAGTCTGAGTCCCCACAGGAAGAAATGCCACGAGAATCTCCCAGTCTCGGAGTGTCTGTTGGTCCCTCACGTGTACCTGGCATTGTGCTAATTTTCTTTAATTATCCCACTTAATTCTCAAAACAAATGGGGTATGGTCATACAGGGTAGAATAATGTGATTTCAAGTATGAACTCTGCTTTTGAGACCTGCTGCTTACTAGCTGTGTGACCTTAGAAAAGTTACTTAGCCTTTCTGTGCCTAAAAGCTATCTGCAAAATAAATACCTCAATCACAAGTTTATTGTGAGGATTAAATAACTTCTATATGAAAAACACTTAAAACAGAGCCTGGCACATAGTAAATGCATGATACATATTGGTTATTATTGTTTAACTATTAGTATAGTTATTATTATTTACACATAAGGAAACAGATGCTCAGAGAGGTTATGTATCTTGCCCACTGTCACACAGCAAGGCAGTTTTAGAGCTGTGATGTATTTGATCCCAGAGCCCACGTATAATATAATATATAATACCTAAGCCCATCCAGTTCAACCCACCCTCTTCGAAGCTTAGGAAACTAAGACCCAGAAAAAGTAAGTGACTTCAGAGTCACACAAACAACTGTGACAGAACCAGATCCAGGTCCTCAATCTCCCAGCTCAAGGTTCTCCTGCTACACCAATGTGTCCCATTTGTATTTCCTGTAATACCTAAATTGCACTTTACTGTTTACAAATCACATTTACATTGACGATCTCCTGTAATTCATGCCCCAACCCTGAGGCCACTGTATTAGTATTACTTTTTTCTTTTACAAATAAGGAAACTGAAGCTCAGAGATGAAATAATCTGCACAAGGTTGCACAGTAAGGCGAGGCAAAGGCCAGAGGAGAAAGGGTGATCGATCCCCAGTCCACATTCCTCCCTTGTCTCTTTTCTCTTCATTGTAGAACTGTGGAACCTCAGAATTTAGAGGAGGCAGGAGGTAGCTAAAGTCATCCAAAGCAGTAGTTTCTAGGAATTCACTAAGGTGGATGACGTTTGTCCCTCATTTCACTCTGGGAATGCTCCAGGAGATAGTAAGATTCCCATCCTTGGAGGCAACAAAATAAGTATTTAGGGGCCATATGGATGCTGAGACAAAAACCGCTGCTACTTCCATTACACAAATGAGACTTAGAAGGCCAGCATCATGTCTAGTATTTCAGTTGGGAAAGGTGGGTTCAAAGTTCCCCTTAGAGAGAATTCTGCGCTGTTCTCTACCTCAGACCGAAGTCCCTGGAAACTCTTCACCCTCCCCGACACAGGGAGGCCACCCTCCCTCTCCTCCTTGAGAGGTGTCACTTGAGCTCCATGGCTCTGTCAGTGGTAACAGCCGTAAGATTTGTCCTTTTAATCCAGAATCAATAACAAATTTCATTTAAAAATAAATTAAACCAGGCATTGGAAATCATTCACCGTGTGGGCTAGGGCCCTATATGGTGTCATCTAAATGGGTTCCTTTCGCTCATCTATCAATGCCAAGAGGGGGAAATACCTAAGCTGCCTGATTCATGGAGAAACTACTTAAATGTATCAGCCTCTAACAATGAGCAACATGAGCCCAGAGTTGCACCTTTTAACACACCAATAACATGTGGAGCAGGTCTTCATGAGAGCTTATCGGAGACCCTCTGGTCACTGGTTTTGAGGGATCCCATTTATAAGGGGGAACAATGGCTTTAGTATGTAGCTGCCTAATTTCCAGAATGCATTACTGAGCTCAGAGGAGCAGTGGAATTCTATTAAACTCTTATCTGCCTTGGGAGGGTATGAAACCAACGGGGAAATCCAGACTTAGCAGAGACATGCCCAAAAAGCACCAGGGCTGACCCTAGGAAGTGGGTGAACAAACCCAAAGGGGAGAGGATGTGTGAAAATATGTGCACTAATAGAGCTCCGGCTTCCAGCGATTACGTTTACATCAGCGAATAAAACTTGGCAATAAAATATCGGTGCTGCGTCCCCGACAGCATTTCCTTTTACAGCCCGGCGTATTTCACTCATTATAACAGGAGGCAAGGAGTTTGAGGTGTCCGCATTTCTCTCCCTTTAATTGAATCTCCTAAACTGCCCAAGATTTGGATAAAGTGAAAGACTTACAACTCGGCTAATCACCATCACGGTGCCCACCATGACGCGCTGACCCTGGCCATCCCCAGTTCCAGTGTTATGAAAATGAAATACTATGGGCAATGCCTGCCTGCCCGGGCTCTGGTTTGTAAAAAGAGATGTAGCCTCAAGAGAGAAATTGGCATAGGCTCAGCAAAGAGGCCTGAATACAGGCATGGTTTTGCCATCACCTCGCTCTGTGACCTTGGGCAAGTTACTTCTCCTTGACTTCCCAAGTTCCCATACCCTTTCCCCAAACATCCACCTTTAGGCTCTAGAATTGTTTTAGGGGCCTCCCTGGTGGCATAGGGGTTAAGTCTCAGCACTGTCACCACTATGGCCTGAGTTCGATCCCCGGCCAGGGAGCTGACTCACAGGAGACCTCT